AATTTCTTTTAATTGTTTCCAGGTTGGTTCTTAGTAAATTTAATAGAAGATGTTTATGGTTTCACAACTGCATGCATTGGTCCCACCATTTTAACTTGGTGCACTTCCCTACAGGGTTATGTTAGATGGGTTCAGCCTTTCATTATACACATACTGGAGAAAATTTGCTACCCTTTTTCGATTGTTCTTTTCTGTTCTTCCTTTTTTTTTTCTTTTCTTTTTTTCCTCTTTTGCATAGTAACTCGAGGAATTTTGCTGCTTAAGTACTTTAATTTTTTCAAGGACCAAATGTATTTTCCTTAGTTATGGTTCGTTAGTTTGTTCCACTCTTTTGACTTACCCTTCTTTAACTGAAGCAGATTTATTGTTATTTATGGATCAAGTTGGGATAATACTTAAGATTTTTTTTTTCTTTAGCAGACGGTATAAAGAGAAAAAGGAAGAAGTGGCAGAGACGGAGGTTGATCCTGAACGAGATCAGCGGATGGTTTTTGCTTATGAACTTTTTATTGCTGTATCAATTACATTTTATGTCTTGGGCAAACCTAAATAAAATCCAAAATTTGGGAATTTTTTAACTGTATTTTTATACAAGAAATTGGAACTTGCCATATTTTATTTAAAAAAGTTCAAAGGATGCTAAATGAAATTGTATTACTTAGTCTTTACTGTGTTTGAACTTTGAAGATCTATTATTTTATTTTATACAGGTAAATGAAGCTGGCCAAAATGAATCAATTTTCACATTGATTTTAATTTCTATTATCTTTAGCGTACGATTTATAAGATTTTGGTAGGCAATCAAAGCCATCTATTGGAGACCCACTTACTCTGTGCATGCTTGCCTTGCAGCTGCCACCAGAAGTTTCGTGCTTCTTGGGCTACTCACTGTGGGGCTATAACGTAATATGTGATGGTATATTACGTTTGATGGTGAACTAATTATTTGTGTTGAGTATTTCTAATACCGTTGAATTACAGTTCCAGGTCTGAGATGTACGCCTTATAATGGACCGCAATTCAAGTCATTCCAAGAGAGTTGGGTAAGTTCAATTTTTCCTTCCATAGCCAAAAAATTATCTCAATTTAATTTTTTATTATGCTATAACTATTTTAATTCTATCATTAGTGGAGGTTTGTCATCTCGTAATGAGGTCAAAGATAGAAGTCTACACTTCTTTTAACAACTAAGGCTGTTATCAACAAGTGAAGATGACAGAGCAAAAGGCACACTAATCATATTGAAAAAGTCTACATGCTAAATTGACAAGTAATTATGGGCTAACAAAATTGCAGTAAGGCCAAGTCCAATGCTTTGTAAGATAGATGATGACCCCCTGTCCTTCTCTTTCACCCTCCTCCCCCACACAATGTAAACTCGCCAAGTTTTTTTTTTTTGGTTTTGGGGATGGGCTTCATGAAATTGCATTGGTTAAAATTTGGTTTCGGTAATGGAGAAATGTTTTAAACATTGCGTAGCTATTAATGGATTTGTATTATTCTAGTGATTTTAAAATATTAAGGGTGAATATTGTGGAAAAAAACTGAAGGACATTTTTTTTTTTTGGTGAAGGATGGTATTTGCTTTGATGTCTCATATTTCATTTATTAGTGGAAGTTGTTTACTTTCCCTAGTGCTTCCACGCATTAATAGATATTTGATCAATAACAATTAGAGAGTGTTTGATTGTACGATTCGAGTTCATTAAATTGTATACTGCTGGTATATTCTATAAGTCATAATGGTTCATTCCATTTATTGCTTGTTGTATCCCCTGCAAGTTAGTGGGTTTGATGGTGTGGTTAATAATATATTCCCCACCCACCTCCAAAAAAGGAAAAAAATATGTTTAGACTGTGCAATATCATTTGTTAATCTTATTATTGTATTCACTTTCACATCTAATCAATGTCCATTTCCCTTCTTAGTACCATCTACATGCTAATGCAGCTTCTTTGCAGTTATATTGAATTTTTTGATGCAATGCCAGTCCCTATGGCAATAACACTCTCTAGCCAGCCTCTTCTTGGTTAGCCAGTAATGGTTAAACCATCAGAAGTTGAAAAAAATCTGGTTCAGTCTACTACAGCCACAGCTGGGGCTGTAGGTGGGCTCATAGGCCCCTATTTGGGGGGAGCTAGAAGAGTATGTTCCTTTCTATTGAGGTAAGAAACATCTTCTATTCCTTTCTTATGCTTTTTCTTATACATGGCTGTGTTGCTGCAACATTGTGTCCTTGCTGCCCAGGTGAAGAAACCACACTGGTTGTCTTACCCATGTGCTGCCACTGTCCATGTGACATGACCATAAAGAAAGGATTGGTTTTCCCTCAGCTGATGATTTTTCTTTAGTTTTTCATGTATGAATGTCTAAGTTGATTGGTTTACTTTTTGGGTTGAAAATTTTGCCCTAAATCTGGATGCTTTTAACATAATGCATCTGACCTTTCTCAATGATAAAAGTGTTTTTTTTTTTCTTTTCTTCTTCTTCTTCTTCTTCTTCTTCTTCTTCTTTTTATTTTATTTTTTTTAATCTTTTCTGAACCCCAGATTAGGAACAAAAAGCGGACCTTGGAAATTGGTTTGGTCGGAGATAGAGTAGGAAAATGCCTGAACTCGTGCATAAGTTCCGAGTTCCATATTTTCCCCCTCTGTGCATAATGATGAATTCAAACATAATTTCATGATGGGGTAACTGTTTATGCTATGGAGATTCACAAGTACATAAAAGAAAATTATCTTATTTTGAAGTAAAATATGGCTTGATTCCATTAGTTCTAAAATTTCATGTTTATGTGCATTGGCAGACCATATTTTGCAAGGCTCTTGGAAATTTGATGTTGTTAGTTAGAATATATATTCCAATAATGTTGTCATACATTACAACACAAGTTCATCATAGAACTTTGGCAACATCACTCTCCTCAAAACAATTTTTGCATCCCAGGGATTGAGTGTTAAAGACCTTGTTGTTCTTTTAGTCGTAGTAATTTGTCTACTTGGATGATTGTTAACTTGTTGTGCTTGCTGGTATGGCTCATTTGAGAGTTGTGTTGTTGTGTGTTTGGGAGACTTACCACTCACTTACGATGGTTGTTTTATGCTTCAAATGGTTTCATATATTTTTTTTACTAACATGGTAATACAAAGGCAAAGCAGTGAAACATTTCAGATATTGAAATTGAACTTTTATTAGACTTTATGCAACTAGGATTAGATTGAGAAGATTTGTCAGTGAGAGTCATAACTGTTGATTGGCTTTGATTTTGCTGTTTCTACAATATTAACTTGGTGCTTCTCTTTTCTCTTTTTTCTTTTTTGCCCCTTGCAAATAGCATGAAGATGTAGCTTATAATTCTGACTACGGAACCCCCATCCACACTCATTGATCTTCTTCCTTTCTCCAGTGGTGATGATAACTCAGCTTTAGCACCTGAGCGGTAAGCTATTACACATTAATGGGATGCACCATTTGTGAATTAGCCTTAAAATTAATTTTTTGTTCTCATAATCTCAAAAAAAGTCTGTTACAGGGATAAATTGTATAATTGATCTAATTATAAATTGATGAGTTACTAATGTTTTTAATCTTTTGTATAATTGATTAATTACTAAAACTTTTAATTTATTTTTTTGCAGATTGGATTAGAGTGGCATTTTTGACGTGCAACAATGATGTAATTTGCTTGAATGTTCATTTTTGTTTGATAAGGATACACATACTTTTTGGAGTTGCACTAGTTATTGTTGGATTTTTGGTGGAATTGAACAAGTTATAACTTTTGGATATTTTGTGGATATTTCACTATTTTATTGTATTAGGATGAAATTATTTGTAATGATGAATGGATATCTTCATTTTGTTAATTCGTAAATGTGTTGATAACAGGTTAGGTTAAGTTGTGATGGAATTGTTATATTCAACAGGTTTCAACATGAACAGGGTCATATTTGTTGAACTAAAATTTAGATTTTGATAAAATAGGTATATAATGTGGAAAAAAATATTATGGAATTATTGACAAAATTTTTCATCCCTAAAGAAGGTTTTTTTTGTCTTTATTTAGCTTAGGTGGATGATTAAATTTGTCATGAATTCTTTATTTCGTAGCTAAATGAATTGTCATGACAAAAAATATTGTCACATTTTGTCACTATTACCCTCAATGTGTGACGAATTTTTTTTGACTATTTCATTATTTTTTAATGATGAATTTATTTTTTGTCTCTATTGGTAGCTCTCTTTGACAAAAAATTTTCGTCTTCGTTTATATTAAACGTGACAAAAATTATTTTGTCTCCATTTCTTATTTTATGACAAAATACTTTTGTCTCTAATTTCTCTTTAAATGACAAATATTTGTCGCTAATTACTTTCCAAGTATGTTCCACAACAGAATGTATTGGAGACAAAAAAATTTGTCACAAATTTATCATTTTTAATGTTGAATTTGTTTTTGTCTCTATTGGTAGCTTCTTTGACAAAAAATTTTCGTCTTCGTTTATATTAAACGTGACAATTATTTTGTCTCCATTTTTTATATTTATGACAAAATACTTTTGTCTCTAATTTCTTCCTTTAATGACTAAATATTTTGTCGCTAATTACTTACAAGTATGTTCCCAACAGAGTGTATTGGAGACAAAAAAATTCGTCACAAATTTTTCATTTTTAATGATGAATTTTTTTTTTGTCTCTATTGGTAACTTCTTTGACAAAAAATTTTCGTCTTCATTTATATTAAACGTGACAAAATTATTTCGTCTCTATTTCTTATATTTATGACGAAATACTTTTGTCTCTAATTTCTCCTTTAATGACAAAATATTTTGTCGCTAATTACTTATAAGTATGTTCCCAACAAAGTGTATTGGAGACAAAAAAATTTGTCATAAATTTATCATTTTCAATGACGAATTTTTTTTTCCGTCTCTAAGACCCTTTAGCGACGACCCTTTGGCGACAAAACGGGTGACGAAAAATGTTCATCGTAATTACTTTGGGTGACGAAATATATACATTTTGGGACAAATTTGTTTCGTCTTTAAATCCCAAATTTGTTGTAGTGTTGGAAAATCGATTTTGAATAAAAAAATGCCAAAAAATGGACTGCTTTGCCAAATCATAGTCACCACCTAAATATTTTTTGAAAAATTTAGGAAACTCAAGACTCGTACCAAACTCGTACCAAAGGCCAATTATCCGTCATCACCAAAGTGTCTCGGCTCGAGAACTTAAATATGAGAGGGGAAGGTCATAAATTGAGCACCTCACTCGCCCAATCAAAGATCGGCCTCTACTAATCATGATGTGATTCTTATTTACATTATCTGCTCTTGTTCCGATTATTAGGTTAACTTACTATGTGTTGCACACAAGTATAGACTAATTTGAAAAAATTAGAACACTTTGATTTCATGTTCAAAAATGTTTTGAATATGTACCACTTAAAAAAGTGATCTCATATGCACATCACTCAAATTATTCCAATTCAAGCAATTAGCCTTCATCCACAGGTATTCAAGCAGGTATATCAATTAAGCACTTAGCCTCATAGAAAATATGCTTGACATGGCAACAATCACACACATGCGATGTGCTAAAGTAGTAAGTGCTCACCTAGTACTCCAAGGCAAGCCAAAACAAAGAAAAAGAATTAGAAAAACATGCACGCTCCTAACTGATGCGACATGACTAATGCAACACATACACAATGCATCTACTAGGCTCAGCTACTAACATGGCATGTGAATCAATTAAAGACATATGATAAAGCACGTATCCAAGCAAGAAATTTGAAATTGACATTTGATTAGTATGATGAGCCGAACCTCATGCGTGCAAGACTAATGGATGCTTTATACATAGAACATGCTAAAATAAACATGATGTTCTAAGCTATCCATCATAAGTGGATAAATAAAAGGAAGAAAGACGTGGGGTTAGAATACATACACACTTATTACAATTTGCCCTCGCGTAGAAGGGTCCAAATAAATGGACTAGCTAATTAATTACCTAATTAACTAACTATTACAATACCCAAAATAAATTAGTTACACTAAGTAATTAACTAATTTACTAATTATTACAACACTACAAATTAACCAACTATTTTAGCTAACTAATTGAATACAACACATAACTAGCTATTCTAGCTAATTATTACAATACCAAAATTAGGGTAAAACTAACTAATTAATTACAAATCCACCATTCAACGTGTCCCGAGGATCAATAAAAGGACTTGCATGCATGCAAGTGGATTTTCCACCCGAAGATGCGCCTATTTTGCTGCCAAAAGGGTTCTATTTTGCAACCAGAAACTTGCACTGTTTTGCTTCAGACTCTGCTCTGTTCTGAAGAAAAAAAGAAAAAAAAATGGTATTGCCTGGTGGACAAAAGTGGTCGGCAGGCCAGAAATAGTGGCCGGCCACCTACTAAAGGTGGCCTGCCACCCACTAATAGTGGCTTGCCGCCCACTAATGTTGGATTTCTCTTATTGCAACAGATAACAAACAGAGCACAAACAGGGCATTCTTAAGGGATGTCTGTCCACCCTATCTTTCCTTATCATCAAACAACTTAAAGGAGGGATAGGCTCGATACGCAAGCTATCAATCGGCACAATTTCATTGCGTGATGACTTATGAACCAAGGGATACAATTTCAATAAATGCACAATTAAAGACTCATGAAGCTCCTCTCTATCATGACATTGATCAAGGGAAGCGATTGACATCGACTCTTGCACCGTTTACATCACTAACAAGTATGAAATGAATCAAGACTCAATGGGTTCAATTAACGTCCTATTGAACCCAAGTTGATTTTATTATCTTGTTCCATTTTATTCCAATTTTAACCTCTTTTAAATTACCTTCCATTCATTAGTCATTTTAGTCCAAAATGAGCATTAAGTCCACTAAATGAGGGAAGTGTCAAACAAAGTGTTGTTTTGGGCATGAGAGAGATGTCATGCCATTGATAATGAACCTCCGAAGAGATTAAACCATTAAGCACAACAATCTCTATCCCATGCTTAAACAATCGATTTGAAACAACTCTCAAAGCAAGAGAGAAGCCAATAAATGAAGGAAGTATAGAGGTGATTAGAAAAGAACACAAGTATGGAAAACTTGAAATAAATACTATCAACTCAAATAGGTTGGTGGCTAAGGGCTAAACCACCAAACCTATGAGGACCATTATACTATAAGCATGCTATACAAAGCATAAGTGAAACTAACACATAAAAACAATCCTAGATTAAGCTAAAACAGTGCTGGAATTGAGGTAAAAACAGCTAAATGAGTAAGCTAAAATAATGGAGAATTTAAGCTAGTAAACAAGCCAAATGAGGAGAGGCTAACCCCTCCATTTTTGGGACTTCAAAACCATATTTTTAGCCTCTAAAAACCTCTGAAAATCAGTGGTAAAAAGTTAAAAAAATTTTGATGAAGAGACAAGGAACACAAGGGCAAAAGCTTAGGAGACAAGGTTCAAAGAAAAGTGATTAACACCTCCACCTTTGGTAGCTTTAAACCACAAGTTTCAGCCCATAAAAAACAGTGTAAAAAAAGCTCAAAAACAGTAAGAAAAGATAGGAAAGAAGTAGTGTAGAGATACCCAAAATTATACCTCTTAAAGCAATGTAACTCTTTTATTAATAAACCCCAAGTTCTCACTCTCAAGTGTTGAGATTTGAGCTCAAGAACCTTAGTAAGAATAGCTAAATTTTTTTATTTAGGAAGTGTAGAGAAAGAGAGTGTAGGTTGCAAAGTGTGTAGGTTCCAAGATAGATAGATAGATATAGAGAGAGAGAGAGAGAGAGAGAGAGATTTTTAAGAATTTGGCCTTAAGGAATTTTTTCTAACCTTAAAAACAAGAGGAGAGGTCATCTATATATAAAAACATAGGTTGATATCTCGGAAATATCCATATAGAGATAGCTGGAGTGGTGCATGCATCTATGGAAACAGCTGGCAAAAATATCTGATTTTTTACAGAAGTGGCTGGCAGGTCACTAAAAGAGGGCGGTAGGCCACTAGTGGCCGGCCAGACAAAAATATGTTTTATGGCCCAACTTCAAATAGGCATGTCTCCCTCATCCGGACTCGGTTTCAGGTCATTCTTGAGTCTAAATTGAAGCCTCAAAAGTCTAATTTTCAATGGTGGTGGCCTCACATCTAAATTCTAAGTGTGCAGAGAGACATTCCTATTTTAGTGAAGGTTGCTTATTTCTATCCTAACAAATTGATGCCCAGCTTCTTCCCCAACTAGTTTTCTTCCCTCCCCTCCTATTTTCTTCCACTCCAAACCTACAAATAAGATGTTTTTAAATATTTTTCAAAGAGTTCACCTCCCTTCCATTTGTTTCCACTTTGTCCTTACTCGGTTTACCGAAAAGTGCAATATTTAAACGAAATGCGAGCCTCGGAATATCGTAAAAACATTTGGAAAAATGTTTTGAAAAAGAGTGTTTAAAGGTCTAAAATAGTTTTGGTCAACATGGGGGTGTAAGGTTGGGATTTAGAAGCTCTTCTTGCTGAAGAAATCGAACGTTCGTACAGCATAACTTTCATCATCGAGTGATCAACCTGAGGCACCCAAGTCTTTAGGATGGTCAAAAATGGGGTGTCTACAGACCTGTAGGGACAAAAGGTGCATAAATAGGACACGTAGGTTGGGAGTTTGAGTT